AGCTAAATGTGTATTTAATGTATGGAAATATAAGTTAAAGATTTGAAAATTGATAAATGACTACAAATACAATACAATATAAGTACTTAATGTAGAATAAAGTGCCATTTGTATTATATATGAAACTTTTCATCATTTTATTTGACACTCTATTCGACTATAAGTAACAAATATTTTTAACTCACATTACAATTGGTTCGTTATTCACACGATTCAATTGAAGTGTCTATTGAATAATAGCCAAACAAACGGCACAAAAGCAAATAATGTTATTAAATTCAATTTTATTAATACTTGCATTAGTTTTTATTTAATTAAATAAATTCTCGGAAAATAAAAAGACAAAATTAAGTTTAGTAAAAGGAAATAAAATTAAAATCATTATAAATGTAAAGTTTATAACTAATATAAATAGAAAATAAAGTGAAAGTTATTAATTTATACAGTACTTGAAACACAAATATATTTCCAAATGAATTTGTACTAGATTAGGTACAGAATTCAATATGTGATGCAAATAAGTTAGACGATTGACAGACAATTGAAATGCCCAGTTGGATTCATATGTTTATATATATATACGACATTTACGAAATGCTATTCAAATTTAGCACTTAATAACCCGTGAAAATTATGTATTAATTCCATAACACATGCAAACCAGTGCTCAAGAATTCAAGTTTTTTTATATGAAATAATATGAAATAGGCCTAAAACTCGTTAGCCTTCAAAGGCGTAAACTTATTATAACTGTATGCTTAGGAACTCATGCTATAATTGACGATACCCATGTCAAACAATTCATTCATCAAAAAATAATATATTCACAAATATCGGAGAGAATTCTTTGCACAACAATTCTTTGTAAGAATTGTGTGTCTCTTATATGTTAAAAAATATTATTTAAATTGTATGTCTAATTTATTAGGGAAATATCAATATATCGATTGGCGGACTCTATGATAGCTTTATGTAGTCATTAAAATGATCATGAGTTCGCGTGTTCACCAAAACAAATGGTAGATCCCATCCCATACCGGCCCCTCACTATTCAAATAGTTCATTATATATAAGGTGTACATTAGTTGAAAATACATTACTTTTACTAATGAATTAGCAGGATGCTTAATTATATAAACTTTTTATTTCACTCATTAGTGTATATATAATAGACTTAATTCAATAATTATTTCAATTAATTCTATTCATTTCGAAAAATATAATTGCATTTAAAACATATAGTGTTGTATTAATTGTTTGTTTTTTCGATTCATTTCCAGTCATATAATTACTTCACTTTGCGACAAATAAATTTATTTTTTTATTATTATTCATGTTTCCTATTATTTATTGTCTGCCTAATCATCAATTTTATAATTTATATTTTGAATAATGTTCATTGACAAACAATTTTATTTTATCATTTTATATTTAATATTAAAATGTTTTGAAGATTACCATAAAGTCATTTACAATTAACGATCATTTTAGTTGCATAGCCTTTATGATATAAAATGTTAAAATTGCATTTTACCAAAATAATAAATATTAAGTTACTCTATTTTTGGTCAAATAAAGTGAATACCCTTGATACTGTATTTAATGATATATACATTATAAGACAATATATATGCATTATAAGACATTTAGAAATTTAGTATATAATATTAAGTAAGTCTTATTATTACTAATATTAAATATGTTGTATATTATATTATATTTAATTGTATCACATTTGAGTGATAATGTCTCACCATATAACTCCACATCTAGTTTATCGTTCACGAGTGCATTTGAATAGTAGGGGAATAGAAAACTTATAGTGAGTCCATTAAGCGGCTAAATATAAACACTTTCTGTCACTCAAGCAGCCCCTGTAGCAACAAGTAGTACTGTATTATGAATTTCTGGGATACTATAGAATATAGAATAATATGAAATACTAAAAAGTAGAAATAAAATGTAAATTAATTTATATTCACACAAATTGAATATTTTTATTTTAATAGGAAACATAATTACAGTATATCCTTGTTGATGAAAAATGATAAAAATAGACATAAATCAATAAATATTAATCGATGTTTATATAAAATAGCTTGTTATTATAAATACAATGTTTTACATAAATTTGATAAATATAAACATAATTAAATGAATTGAGAAATGAATAACAAAGGAAACAGCAGCTTACTTGTTACATTTTTAATAACACAGTATAGTTTATAACAATATACCTATGTTTAGATATATCAATGTATTCTTAAGAATGGTTTAACTAAATTAAATGAATCTTTAAATAACAATAAATTCAAATTCAAGTGTTGTATTCAAATTGTGAAAGTATATAAATTCTTNCAATATACCTATGTTTAGATATATCAATGTATTCTTAAGAATGGTTTAACTAAATTAAATGAATCTTTAAATAACAATAAATTCAAATTCAAGTGTTGTATTCAAATTGTGAAAGTATATAAATTCTTATATTGTCATATGGCACATGTGTTATAAATGATACCAAATGTTTTAGTGATTAGTTAATGTTAATTTGTGCTTTACTAAATACAAAGGAATTAAAATAGTGTTAATAAACAACAAAATTTTAACAAACATTTAATTGAAATTAAAAACTTTGTCATCAATTATATAATGATTTCTTGTGTAACAATATAAGTGAAACAAATGAGATTTAATTCACAATCGATGGATGTTCACTCTACCGGTGCGATAGGATGGTCAGAAAGGGTGGTGGAGTTGCTATATATGCAAAACAATATGATAAATAAATATATAGTGAATTTGGTTGACATCAATATAAACATACAATATGTAACTTATATTTACGTTATATTTAATTTTTAATTACTATAAATATTTTAAAATTTTGTTGTTATATTATATAATAAATTTGTTTTAAAACTTATATTTATTAATTTATTCTCGTTAAGGATGTTCACAAAAATCTTAAGCTAATATTTTCTGACAAAACAAAGACTATTATTTAAAGTCACGAAAGATTCGTATTAAATGAAAAGTGTTTTGAAAATAATAAAATTATTAATAAAAGCTAATTATAGCCGTCAAGATTTTCACTACTGTATAATTAAATCAACACATATTACAGAATCCAATCACAAATTATAGATAAAATATTGTCTCTTTCATACAATACAAGAAATGACTGGAAAATTAATTTCAAAATAATTGAAACAAAGATATTCTTCATATCTTTATAAGTATTCTATGCCATAGAATAGACATAAGAAATTGTATTCTGGAGTCAAGTGTTTAAATGTTGAAAATGCATAAATCGGTAATGAATTTGTCAATCGTTGTGTTAGTTGTAGTGACCCTTTGGTCGGACAGTGTGGACGCGGCCGCCAAGAAGTGTGTGATGAGTGAGTCGGACGCCGAGGCCTGTGGCGCACAGATGTTGATACTGAACGAGAATATGACGATTCCTAAGTCAGAGGCAGAGATACTGGAGAAGTGCACAAACATTGAGAAAGGCATTGAATGTTATAAAGAATACGCCAAAACATGTTTGGATCCCATGGCCTCACGGGTCATGTCAATGGTTAGCCGCAATGGCAAGAAGTTGGCTGATAGGCTCTGTAAGGAAGAGTCCTCCAGAACAGGTATTTATAGTCTGGTGTTTGCAAAAATACTGAGTTTTAAAGTAAAACTTGGATTTGTTTAGAACTTTTAAATCATTTCAATTGCTGGAAGAGTTCAGAGGATTTGCAAAAAATGAGTATTTGTTTGGATAAATATATGATACAAATGCAGGGCTTGGCTAATGTGAGCAATGATGATAGGATTCCCACCGTTTGCTGTTCCTATCATATGCTGAAGGCCTGTATGAAGAGTCAGGGAGAGAAGACATGCAATAAACCAGAATCCGTGGCATTTATCGACAATATGGCCACTGGTATAGTAAGTGTCGCACAATTCATATGTCTTTAAGTATTGATTAAATTTTGATAAATTGTTAATTTTTAAAACAAAATTCTTTAATTACACGTTTCATAAATAGACGGGTGATTTAGTGAAGTTTGTTTGCGGCAAATTCAAGAGTTTGGAGGATTGTGACACCAAAATGGACACCAATTCGTGGCAAAAGCTTAAGGAACTGGTGGCTAGCGATGACCCGCAAGTGATTAAGGCTATGAAGAAGTATCAGAGTCCTTTTGCTGCACTTAAAGATATGTTAAAGAAAATTAAGAATTAAAGTCTAATTAATGTTTATTCAGGATTTTTGTTACACTTATCATATTTGTTTACAAACCAATGTATTTAATTTTAATTTTGTAATTCTATTATAAAATAAATTGTTTTATTATGTATGAGCAATTTTATTTATAAATTATAATTTTTATAAAATAAAACTACTAGATATTTCTCATATTGGAATTTTCTTGATGTTGATTATTATATTAAGCAAATTAACATGATATTTAGAAATACAAATACATTATATTTATTTACTGGAAATAAGAAGATTTCTTTTACGTATATAATTAGTTAATTAGTTAATTAATATAGTTAGTAGCATATATCAACATAATAATATTCTATTATAATTAATTTTACACGGTTTTGAATTTTCCGAAAAGCCTCAAAAATTTATTTAAGCATAAAATATGTTTCCAGTTGCAGACACCAAATTCATTCTTACCACTGATGGCGGCAGTGAATATGATTATAGGATACCAATTTACACAATTTTAGACAATCAATGATTTCCGAAATAATGTAAAGACTTATAGTGAATATGAGACCTATTTGACTAACATTGAAATCTGAGTTCAACATGAATGTTTTACAATAAACTTCAAATGTTATTTAATAGTTCAGAATTGAAAATTTCAATTTCAAATATTGTGTTCAGGTAGAGAGCTATAATTTAAACTTTTTCAATAATAGATTTCTAAATTCATAATAACATCGTTTACATTATATTGAACTCGTGGTCAATAAAACTCTTAAAAGATTCATTTGCCTTAAATAGTAACTTATTACTTCGAGTAAGTTATTTGATCCAGAACCATTGACTTATATATTGTAAAGATAGTAAATTGTCTTTAATTCACCTTATATTTCACATATTAGACTTATTTTAAAGTCATTTATCAATTAAATAATTACACATTTACACTAAATCTAATGATTAAATCAATAATTAAGTTTTATGTGAATTATAAGTCTGGTACAAACCAATGACATCAAAATGTTCAATATTTTACAAACAATTTGATTTCACATCCCTTTGAAAAAAATACAAATTTCATTAAAAAGTGAATCATAATTGTAAGATAAAATGAAACTAACAATTAATATAAAATTAATATAATAATTATCAAAATTATTTCTTTTGATTGTACTTTGAATGACGTCTGAAAGACATCCAAAAACTTCCAGTTCTTAAGCATCTCATCATAGGTTTACTCATCACTTCACAGATGAATGGTTTGTATAAAAGTCTATTAAAGACTTATAGGAAAATATAGTGTCACGGAATCAACAAATTAAGTGAAATTCTCTTCACAAATATTATTATTAATCATTTTCTCGATTCTTTGTTTTGAATACAACAAAGAATTGGTGTTTACGTACGGGAAATACGCCAAAAACACAGCCAAACCTTTACTCTAATTGAAAAGCTTTATATATAAATAGTGTCTAAAATTCATGGTTTTAGTTATTAATTGCTAATAACACTCCAAGTTTGATATTAGACTCGGTGTTTGTATATATTATTTATAATTTATAGTCACAGAGTAATATATTTAATATATTTAAAGTCTATATTAAAGTCATAAAATGAATTCAATAACCATTGAAATACTACTCATTTGTGTGATCGTCGGAATCGTGGGAGTGTGGGGTCGACCGCACTGTGAGATATCGGAGGCGTCGGCCGACGAATGTGGGAAACGATTGATGTTTATCGGCGAACAGACCACTGGTCTCCCCAAGAATGACGACGAGCTGAAGACCCGATGCGGTCAAGTGAACGAAGGACTCGACTGTCTAAAGAAGTATTCCAAGACCTGTTTGGATCCGTTCGCCACACAAATCATGAATATTGTGATCAAAAACGGCGACAAATTAGAGGCAAAGTATTGCAAAACGGATAGCGAGAGAAAGAGTGAGCGAAATATATTTATTGACTAAGAAAATGAAATTATTAATTCATTTAATATATGTTTACTCCAACACCAGAATTGTTGGATGCCTTACAGTGCGCCCAGGGATCTGATCTAGGTCCACTGCACTTATGTATGGAGAAGTTTGTGGTGCAAATGGAGCACTTGGCGGGTGTGACGGGTGACCACCGAATACCGGCCACCTGTTGCTCATTCCAGT